CTCTTGAATGACTATAAAGTAGGTTTTAAATTTTCTGTTATCTACTTGTTCTTCCAAAGCATCGCACAGACAGTGACTGTGAAGACTTTAGACAGACGCTGATCAAGAATTATGGGTCACTATTTCTAACATGATACCTGAAAAGGAAAAGCTATCCGTATATTTATACTTCTGGTGAAAACACTTAAAAGTATTTTATTTGAAAATTCTATATAAATTCAATAGTTAGTATTGTCCTCAATACTTTTTATTTTCTCTTCTTTCATATACAAAGAATATGTATTGAATTATTTTTCGTAAAATTCCATATAGATGCTCTCAAGTCCTGTCTAATTCATCCATGTGCCATACAAACATTACGTATGCATAGTAAGTAAAGAAAGGTGAGAAACACATATCTAGCTAGCTAGAGCTGACTGAGAAAAGATAAGATGCCCAGAACAGGCAAGGTAGAGAAAGATATTCCTTCATATTATATGCAATATTTCTTTGGTTCACAAATGTCTAGTATTTCTGACTTTTATTAGAAATACATCCTTTAATAAAGTAGATTTCCTTCCTTCGTACCATTTGAAAAAAACCAGATATTTTTTCCCCTCAGCAGATCAGCTTTAAATTTTTTAAACATTTTCCTAACATATAATTATCATCTTCCAAAGACCTAAAAGTGTTGTCAATGTGACTGAAATCAGAATGTAAATATTTTATAAACAGCTGTCAAATCTCAATTGGCAGAAAACAAAAAGCCCCCGAATTGCTGTAATCGACCTAAGAGGCTACATCATTTAATTGACAGATAAGACATTTTTCTAGTTTCCATTTTCCCATCAGCATTTTAATACGCTACCACGGTATGCCATTCTAGAGAGTCACTGTAACAATTTACTTGAAGATGGAATAAATTCTGAAATGCTCTCAGGGAGATGCCTAGCGCAGTAACTGAATTCTGCTTCATGGAGCATTCTTCACACTCAGTGTATTTGGAATGGCTGTTACTAACACGGACTAAATATTGGCATCAAGGGAATGTTATCATGCCCATTTAAAAAAAAAAGGCAAAATGCTCTTAGCGGCTCAATAATTTATTATTTCATTCTTTTGGGCCTTCATTCAACAAACAGTTCTGATCACTCACATGCCAGGCTGAGATAATAAATCTTTGCAAGATCCAAAGCAATGGCCTCTACCACCCATCATCACAGATCACAAATACTGCTCGTAAAAATACCTGCAGCTGTCCCTCTCCAAGAATTACTGCTCTTTACTTGTGCCCTGCTATCTGTCCGTCTCCCCAGATTTTTTTTTCACCTCTACTTTCATTGTTTTTCCTTCCTTCCTTCCAATAGACCCTTCAGGGACATCTCTAAGCACTGCTTTCTTTTGGGATATTTGATCTATGGCATTTTCTGCCTCTATATTCATTCATCCAGTATTCTTCATGTCTTGCCTAAATTCTTTATTTTTCACATCTCTCCTAAATCCCTTAAGGTCTATGTGTACGTATTTTTTGCTCTACGTGGGTATTTTAGTATGCTTTACAAAATAAAATTTCTAGTTTTTAAAAGGAATTCAATTTGGGTGCCTGAGCTGGCGCTCCTATCCAGAGAGTCGTTAGGGAAGGCTGTGACAGCTGAGATCTGACTGGGAAGGACCAGGGACACACACGGCAAGCCAGGGGACTGTACTGCCAGGGCCTCGGGGCCTGGGGGCGGAGAGCACAAAGAAACATTCAAGAAACAGCAAAAAGGATGGACACTGGAGCTGGGAAGCAAGTAGAAACCTGACCGTATGAGATGTGTAAGTCATGGTTATGCACTGGGGATTCTGCTCTTAATGCAGAGGAAGGAGTCGAAGGGTTTGGAGCAGGGGTCAAGCAGGAGAGTAACGGGATGCAGCCCGGGCTCCCCAATCTCCTGGAAGTCAGGAGGCCCTCGGGCAGCTCACGCAGTTGTCCAGGCAAGAGAGGATGATGACTTGGGGCAGGATCGTAACAGAAGACACACAAAGAAATGAAGAGACTCAGGATCTATTTGAAAGAAAGGAAAGGAAAAGGGAAAGAACTGAGAAATCTTAGCTTCAGGGGCCAAAAGGAAAGTTTGACTTCAGTAGATGCAGTGTTTCCCTGCATTAGCAAAAGGAGATCTGACAAGGGAAGCTATTATCTTACCCTAAGAGAATATCAGAATATCTGACACCCTCCATTTACAAATAAAGAACAAAGGTCCCGAGAGGTGAGATGGCATTTTTCAAGCCTCAGAAGAGCTGCCTGTCACCTGCATTGCCCGTCTTATGTTTTCCAGCCCAGAGACTTTTCCATTACCCAAGCACCTCCTTCCTGGGCTCAGCTCAGTACCTTATTCAATATCGTGCATGACTTTCTTTGGAAAGGAGTTTCTTTATAAACTTTATCTTTTACTTGACTTTTCCCCTCTGAACCCAATAAGTCAATAAGTGCGAGTGAAAGAAGAGAGACTGTTGGAAGGAGAATATTTAATATTAGGACCGTATGTTAAAAGCTGAATTTTGGTGGCCATATTGAGATCATTAATTTTAAACATTTATTGCCCCCCCCAAAAAGGCAAAAACAACCCCCCATGGAATTAGTATTTCCTTCACTTGTTTCCATAGGCAATTCCAATTAATTTTGATCCTCCCAAATTAGAGTTTTTCTCTTCTTCTTCTTCTTCTTTTTTTTTTTTTTTTTTAACTGTGGAATAGCCCAAGTTCAGTTAGTTTTATAAATGGCTAATCCAGTGGAAACTCTGTGTTATTGAAGAGCAAGCATTCTAAGGGGTACTGGTGATGTTGCTGACTAGTCAGCAGCTGTGAATGCCACAGTCCAGGCTCCTGGCATATACTGTGAGGACAGGCATCAGGGAAACAGAGGCCAGGGAAGGGCACCTGGCGGGTCCAGTTCAAAGCTTGCCTTGGGCACTTAGGACAAGGTTAACACTCAGCGTGTGAGTTTTCTCATCTGTAGATAAGGATAATAACACTTACCCTGACTGCACACTACTGCCAAGATTAAAGAAAGGCATGTCTAGCACAGCACGCGGGTCTGAACGCCCGTGAATCAGTGCTGTCTGCACTGGGCTCCGAGCATCAGGAGATCTAGAGAATCAGGGATTAATCAGAGTAATCCCACAAGAGAGCTGATGATAGGCTCACTGGAGGGCAAGAATGTCATCAAGGAGTCAAGTTCATTTTACCTTCCTGCTCTAACATCTCTGTCTGTGGCCTTTGCCCTTGGCATCACGAGATGAGGGACTATGCTGTATTTTCTATTTTTTTGGAAATAATTTATTGTCAGGTTAGCTAAGATACGGTGTATACAGTGTGCTCTTGGCTTTGGGAGTAGAATCCCATGTTTCATCACTTGCATACGACACCCAGTTCTCCTCCCAATGAGAGGGCTACCCAGTTCTTAGAGACGGCAAAGGGTGTGGCCCAGAGCACATCTTTCATGTGAAAACCAAGAAATCCTGGATCTACAATCTCAAATCTTTTCTAACTCAAACCCCAAGCCAGTAATTTCCTCAGCCATATGTCGGCCACCGGCCAGGGATCAGGCAGCCAGAGACCTCCGCTATAGCCCAGAGCCCACCGACACAATTCGTACTAGCCAATCCTCAACCGTATGCCCTGCACTGCATAGCTGTTCCCACTGACATTCAGGAAAGACTCTGACTCAGACTTTCTCCTCTTCCGGTCTACTGCCTCCTGACCAAACCTGGTGCTTCCTTAGGTGACCTGGTGGCACCAAGTGGCCCTTCTCTTATCATATGTAAGGAAGAAGTTCTCCTTTCAATGGCATAAACCTCTCCATGTCAACATTCAGTCACGTCCATAAATTAAAATTCACAGCTACAAATGTTAGAACATCTTTCTAGGTAAGAAGATGAAGTAATAACAATGTTCCCAGAATATTCTGCTCTTGAAGCTCTGATCTTTTAATTCAAGAAGGGAATGAGGGCAGGAGGGGAATAAATTCAGGAAGGGAAGTCCTCCGTGGGGCCCACCATCCAGAGGTCATTAGCGAGAACCAGGTTACGTGGCCTTGGTAAAGGAGTCTGAAAAGGTGAAGGTTTTTAAACAAGGCATTTCACTGCCTCTCAAAACATCAGGATGATGATGGTGATGATGACAATAATGATGATGACAGTGATGATGATGATGATGATGATGATGATGAATTTTGGAAGGAAGAAGGGAGAAGGGATACTGAGTAAACCAGTAGCACTGTCTGCTGAATAGAGAAGGCATTAACAATAACGCTCAAAGGAGATGGAGCTTTTTCGCAACGTTGCTCTTTCTTTATATTCACTATTAAATTTTGTACAGCGTCTTATATAAGGTGATATAAATCAAGGGATGATATTTAAGCTTCTGTAAATTAGACAGGCTCTAAGATTTTACATACACTGAAAATTCAAACATTTGGCACTAATTTCCAACAGTCCCATGTTGCTACACTTAAGATATAAATGAGTACTTAAAATAAAACAACATTTCATATTTTAACAAATATGCCTTCATTATAATTTTGACTAAAATTAGCAAATAAGCAAAAAAAGTATCTTTACTAAGAGAAAAATCAAGGGGCACCTGGGTGGCTCAGTCGGTTAAGCGTCCAACTTCAGCTCAGGTCATGATTTCACGGTCCATGGGTTCGAGCCCCGAGTTGGGCTCTGTGCTGACAGCTAGCTCAGAGCCTGGAGCCTATTTCAAATTCTGTGTCTCCCTCTCCCTCTGACCCTCCCCTGCTCATGCTGTCTCTCTCCAACTCTCAAAAATAAATAAAAAACATTTTTAAAAAAAGACAAAAATTGAGCATAACTGTTTTTTTCTATACTGAGAATCACAGAGAGTAATTATAAATCAGATTTGAAAACATCAGCTTAGAATTCTTATTCCTCATTAATCTGTTTCACTAATCAAGCCATAAATCCTTTTTTTTTTTTTTTTTAAAGCAAGGAACTCAACTCAGAAAAAGATCTTACCTTATAGTACCTCAGTGGGAGTTCTGAATGTCATTTATTTGGTCTCTGATCAGAACACAGTTGCTAGAAGAGAATTAAGAAAATAAGTTTAACATAGAGCCCTGGGATGGGAAAAGTCAATATGTTAAATAAAAGGATTTGAGGCAATGTAAGAAAATCACAGAATTTTCTAGTGAACATGATCTCCTAGATCTTGGTGCCAAACCACCTCATGTAACCAATGGGGATATAGGTAGTCAGAGACTTAAGGTACCTGTCATTGGCAGAAGAAACACATCTATTGACTTTCTACAAAAGGTTCTTTGTATAGTTCCACTCCTCATACTCATCAAAGCCCCTGTCGCAGTGAAGGGACACAGAGGGAGAAGAACAGAAAACAAAAGATGCTGCACATCCCTTCGTTTTACAAGTGAGTGATGGTACCCTCCTTTGTTAGCAAGTGGGTTAGTACCATCTACTTCTCTTACAAGCTCTGATCTCCTACCTTCTCCAGATGTGATGGACACATATACACACAGTCAGCTCCTGCTAAGCTTCCTTCTCACTCCAGGATAGAGTCAAATCTTAACATACCCTAACCCTGTTTTGGACACTGACATTCACATTTTTTTTAAGTTTATTTATTTATCTTGAGACAGAGAGAGAGTACAAGTGGGGGAGGGGCAGAGAGAAAGGGAGAGAAAGAATCCCAAGCAGGCTCTGAACTGTCAGTGCAGAACCCAATGTGGGGCTTGAACTTACAGACCGTGAGAGCATGACCTGAGCCAAAATCGAGAGTCAGACGCTCAACTAATCGAGTCACGCAGGCACCTCTAACATTCACAGTTTTAAAGTGCGTAGAGCCTGACATTTAGGCTAGAACCTTAGCAAATCTTTTAGAAGGTTGACTAGAGAATGAAAAAGAGGCACTAAGTTCCATGAGCAGAGAATGAAGAAAGTGTGTTCATGTGAAGGGCATCTTGGACGACACAGGGTCAGGAGGGAACCTCAAATGCTGTGGGAGAACTGGGGATGGGGACTGACAAGATGTGGCTGGATATTTAAAAGGAGAACCTTGCAGTTTCCTGAGAGGTGAGGCTGAAGCTGACCACAGGAGGGGAAGTGGCCGTGAGGTGAGAGGCTGAGGCTTCCCAGGGTGCACGGGACGAGAGGAGCTCAGGGCAGCCTCTCAAAGTGTGATGTGCAAGATAAGCCTAGACATGGAAAGAAACATTTCTTTCCTAATAAAACACAGATTCATGTTTTGTGTGTATCTCTTGTTGAAAGTATCGATCTGCAAAAGATTGGGGAAAAGGAAAAGAAAGAAGAGTCACTGGTGCTGCCTCAGTCTGAGAAGCATTATCCTCGGGAACATTCCCTGTCTCGTGTTCCCCTGAGGGTCTTTCACTCAGGGGCTATAGCTTGCACTGTCAGAGCTCTCACCCAAGGGACCTCTCCTACTCTGGAAACGCAGGTGCGGGATCCAAGTGAGGCCTCTCAAGGTTCCCCTCCCCTGAGAGGAGGGTGTCCTTGGAAAGGAAAGGGCTGAAGCTGATCATTTCCTGAGACCCATTCACTTCATACATGGGGAAACTGAGGCTGTGGCTGTGAGTGAACAGAGGTCACTTGAACACAGGCTGTCTGGCCTTTTCCACTTATGGTCTTGCTTCTTGTAGATCCCAGCATCTCCTCAGGAAATAATGTATGCATTATAGTACTTCAAGGGAATGTGCAACAGTATTAAGATTCCCATTCTAAGTCGAGGAAGTGCCGGGAAAGTCATCAAATAACATGTCAGTGGTAGGATACGGACATTCTGTCTCTGGTCTCTAACAAATGGACATTTTCAGCCAGTTGGGGAATGCCAGGGAGTCTAGACTTCATCTTTCACCACTGGTTCCTTATAGAACCGAATGAACCCAAGGGCAAGTGGGTCTCACTGAGGCACATGTCAGTCCTGTCACTGTAATCTGCTAAGTGCCCCACACATAGTAATTGCTCAATACGCATTTGTTATATGGATTTTATCATTAAAATGAACGGTTATCCAGAACACAGTTGCCTAATTTACAAGTAGAAGTCCTAACATGCCTATGTGTTAGGATTTAGGTCACTTGAATATGTAAATATGTATCTGTCAATAAAATAAAATTAAGTCAGACATTTCATGAAAAAAAAAAAAACCGAAACATTGTTCAGTCATTCAAGTGTCTGCTAATACAAATATCCCATTCACTCCTTGATTCAGAGAACAAGAGCTGAGACTGAATACCTTGAGGTATCTCTAAGTTTCCCTAGTGTTAGACTCAGCAAAGCATTCACTGTGAGAACCAGCGAGAGAGCTGGGTTCTATCCTAACTTCAAATTACTTTGACTGCAAATTAACTGCACGTGACATCCAATGAAGGGTGAGCATCAACTCTCTGAGTATAGACGACAGGCTCCACCAAATCCCAGTAAACATGGCTCAAAGGGTCATATGATGAAAATAGGATTGGCGATGCCAGAGACTGTTGTCACAATCATGCAGTTAGCCAAGAGGAACACAAAGCCAGAGACAGACTGATAATTAAGGAAACACAGATGAAAAGATTCTTTCAACAAGAAAAGAAACAAAAATTTCTTTTTTCTTAGGTAAACAAAATATTACTTTTAGGATATTCAGAGAAAGGTAGGCTCTTTTGTTAATGTCCTTAAAGTAATTGTTTCTTTCCGTAATATCATTGTGAATTTACAGAGGTAAAGAGGTAGAAATGAGGCAGCAGGCCTGGACGTTTAGTATGACCATCTGAACGGTCCCATTTCCTTCAATCTTTTCCAAAAACGCGCATTATTTGCCTACTTGCTATTACTGTGTGCATGCATATTGCTCTGATCTCCTGGAAGACACAGAACACTTGAGCAGATGTTTTGCCATCTAAGTGAATGATCACGGAATCCACAGCCATCTGATGGTCGAAATTTTTTAGTTTATTTATTTGAGAGAGAGAGCATGAGAGCAAGCAGGGGAGGGGCAGATAGAGGGAGACAGAGAGGATCCCAAGCAGATTCCACACTGTCAGCACAGAGTCCTGTGGGGGGCTCGGACTCATGAACTGTGAGATCATGACCTGAACCAAAATCAAGAGTCAGATGCTTAACTGACTGAGCCACCCAGGTGCCTGACAGCCATTTGATTTAGACAGCATTACACCTGCTCACAGCTTTGAAATAAGTAAGCTTAAGTAACTAATTTAACTTCTGGTATTCAGCTGAAATTAGATCCCAGCCTCTTCGGAAAGATCTAGAATATTCTCCTCCTTTTTAATTTCATGATATATCTTTAGTTTTTAACTTGCTTTATCAAAGACCAAAATAACATGTGTTTTGACAAAGTTGTGTCTGACAGCCTGTTTTATGGGAATAGGATAAATATGATTCTAAAAATGTATATATTATGCTAAGTCTGGTTTGCATTAAGTTCTCATCTAAACACAGGATTCACTACGTATCTGTGCTCATTCAGATATTGTGTTGGACCCTCACTAGTTCCCTTCAAAGTTCATCTTCTTATTTTTAAGCCATCCCGTCCAGAAAAAGAAAAGACAGATAATTAAAACGTGCAATTGTTCTTATGAATGAAGTTATTCATTCTTTTGTTACTCTTCCCAATTTGCAGATGAGGCTCAGGGATCAAGTCACTGTCTCAGAGTTGTCTCACAAGTGGTGGGTACGGTTGCTGTCCAAGCTTGACTCCTTTCATTTCTAATCGCACATGGGTGTAGCAGTAACAACAACAGCAATGACAAGTACTTACGGATGCTCACCATGTTGCAGGTGGCATTCTAAGCCCTTGGTGTACACCCGATCATTTAATCACCACAGTCCTTAATTATTATTGTCTACATTTCATAAAGAAACAGCTGCCTGTTTGCTCTATGTAGGGGAACCACAGCTCCACAGGGATCATTGAGACCAAATTTGCTGCTGCTTCATCTTTTTCCATTTACCATGCCCCTTCTCTGTCCATTCCTTCTTTTTTTTTTTTAAACAGGCTTAAAAGGCATTAGAGTTTATTCTTTTCATAATTTGTAAGATTTTGACTATAAATCAGCCTCCAAATTTTTCTTTCTTTCTTTCTTTTTTTTTTTTTTACAAATAGTTTATTGTCAAGTTGGTTTCCATATAACACCCAGTGCTCATCCCCACAAGTGCCCTCCTCCATGCCCATCTCCCCCCTTCCCCCCACACCCATCAGTCCTCAGTTTGTTTCTCAGTATTCAAGAGTCTCTCATGGTTTGCCTCTCTCCCTTTCCCCCACCATTTCCCTCCTTCTTCTCCCCCATGGTCCTCAGTTAAGTTCCTCCTAATCCTTCTATACGTGAGAGACAATGAAATCTGGCCATGTGTAGCAACATGGATGGACCCGGAGGGTGTTATGCTTAGTGAAAAAAGTCAGGCAGAGAAGGACATTCCTTCTTATTTTACTTCATCCAAGACATACAATTAACACCACTCTTGGTCTGAATGGGTAGAGGTGCAATAGGTCCAGCAATATCGACAACATTTTTGAGATGTTGCTTTGCCTGTTTTGACAGTCAATGGACCTTGATCAAAGAAGCACCGTGAGAGTTTTTAGTGGGTCTTGAGCGCTCTAAGATAGATAAACTCTACTTTCATATTCCTGAGAACAGAGCACTCTGCAAGGGGAGAGACCGTAAGTGGGAACGCCATTTGGGAGCTGAAGAAGAGCTCCCACTTTGGGGGTTTGCTGTCCAGGAGTGGTGCCACACTGCAGTGTCTAAGGAGCCAATGCAAAACCAAGATGGTGGGCAACGGGCCAGGTTGATGGGAAACACAGCTTTAGAAGTCTTCGAGGCAGGTTGCATGTTTGTCATCAGGATGGGAACAGAGTCGGTGTCACTTGAGCTGACAAGACCTCAGCCGGCGGCTGGGAACACGAGCAAGGTTTAGTATTCTGGAGTGAGTGCCTGGTCATGGTGAAGTGGATCCTTGGGCCCCTAGGCTTCAGAGGTGTGTTGAGGTGGGGGTGGAGGGCATCTCTTTTAAATAGGAACGAGAAGTGCAAACCAGGATTTGA